CATACCAATCAACAATAATTGCTTTGATCTCGATAGTAAAAGGCTAAAACAATTACAAGAAAGATTAGAAAACATAATTTACCTGATTATCGATGAAAAAAGCATGGTTGGATGACGAATGCTCGGGTTAATAGATATGAGGCTGCGATAGGCATTTCTTGATCAATCGAACGAACCATACAGAAGACGATCTATCATAATGTTTGGGGATTTTGGGCAGCTTCCACCAGTACTTGACCTTCCTATGTTCTCCAACGATGAATCACAAGACACCAATTCTAACAATGGTATAGCATCATACAAACATTTGTTAGAAGTTTACAAGCTTGATATAGTTCAGAGGCAATCAGGAGAATCTGAAGAACAAAAGTAATTTCGAGACCTACTACTAAGATTGCGTGAAGGAGAAAGCATTCTTGATGATTGGAACCAATTCAAAACTCGGTTTGAAGAAAGATTAAGCAAAACGGAGAAGGATAAATTTGCAGACGCGGTATTCATCCTAACAACGTAGACTGAGGTTGATTTAATAAACATAGAGTCACTCAGTTTAATTAATCAACCAGTAGCTAAGATAATGGCAGTGTACACCGGTGGTAATGAGGCCAAAAGAGCAAATTCGGACGTCACAAAGGGTCTCGAAGGTCAATTATTATTGGTGAAAGGGTCTCGTGTCATGCTAACGGCAAATATATGGACCAAATGAGGGTTAGTTAATGGAGCAATAGGAATAGTATATGATGTTCTATATGAGGATCAGGGTCCACCTTCACTTTCCAAAGTAGTTTTCGTTAAATTCGAAACATACGAAGGACCTAGCATAACAATGTCAAAAGGGGACAAAGTTGTTCCGATAGTACCAATCAAACGAATCTGGGAAAGCAAATCTGGAGTGACATGCTCTAGGCTCCAAGTTCCTATTTGCTTAGCGTAGGCTATTACAGTTTATAAGAGTCAGAAACTCACGTTGGTAAAGGCAAAAATAGATATATGAAGCAAAGAATTCGCAGCAGGTCTCTCTTTCGTCGCAATTTCACGAGTTCGCTCACTCAGTGATATATACTTCAGGCAGTTCACTTTCGAACGTCTTGAACGCATAAAAAACAGTAAAAGACTACACGAAAGGAAGGAAGAGGAAGTGCGTTTACTCTCTCAGGTACCTTGATAGCAAATTTGGGCTTTTATTACATATAATTATATATAATAAATAAATGAGAGAAAAAAAAATAAATATTTTTCAGTGTGAAATTTTACATTTTGTTTATTTACTAATACATTTAATAAATTGCTTTTTTGAAATCTGTGATACAAATTAAACACACTTATCAGCATCGACCTGAGCAATAGGTGGATGAACAATGAGACATTTGTGTGTCACCATATGAACAATATATAGTCCTTCGCTTCGCTTCGGACTAATGAACTTTATTTGGTTAAATTTTTAGAGGCTATTAGCTTATTAATAAAACAAGTAATTTGGCTGGCAAAAATGCTTAAATTTCTGTGTAATATCAATCAAATATCTAAAATTAGATTTTATAGAAATGATTGATGTAAATTTTAGCAATGATTGACAAATGATCGACATATATAAAAATGCTTTGGAGTATGGTTTTAATAGCAAAATAATATATAAAATTATTGCCTTATCAATTGATTCAACTCAATATATATTTTTATGCAATTTTTTATTGGCCAAGTATATTTATTGTGGTGTAACATTTTTTTGATCATCAATTACTCAAAATCAATTTATAGTTTCGGAACCCACTTTTAATAGATCAGCTCCCATATGTCGCTAAATGGTTGTGAGCTCGTTTTTCTACAGAACTCTTTTTTTTCAACGACATTTACAAAAGCATATTTAGTGTGAACAAGGATATTGGAAAGAAATTGCGATTATAGAGAATCGACCTAATTTTCCATATCATGCACATAGCGTGGTTTGAGATATCTGAGGTTGTCTATTCGAAACTCAGTTATACGAGTAAGAATATTGAATTTCTATATTTAACAGATTTACTGAGTAATCTAGTTCTGTTGATCCTTGATGTTTATGCAATACACCATCAAGGAGATGATTGGCCTGCTTATGAAAAATCTTGTATGCATTGCTAGAATGATCTGTTTCTTCAGTTTGATAGGAGGAATTACAAACGTATCTCTTTAATGTTTTTCTTTGATGTTTTTTATTGGATGGAGATTAATCATCCAATTTTTAACATGTCTCTAAGTGATTATCCTGTCGAACTCATTCACAGTATTATACGCTGATGAACCGCTAAGTTTTTCACAGCTCAACAACTGCAAAAAGAAGCATATTTCATATTTTAGCAGTGGGATGAAAATGCATTTAGGCAAAATTTGTAAATGCTGTTAAATATATATATATATCAAAGTAATTGAATACTATTTCCAGAAGTGTACTATACAACTTTTAAACATCTTTACGAAAATATATCAAGCGCATCATATATATTCTTCAATTATTAAAACATCATCCAATGGTATTAATACATATAAATGATTTCTTTAGATATGAAGTTACCGATCGTCACCTTTCACAGGGTTTTATTACTTCTAGGAAACCAAATACTACTATTATTTGCGATTATTTGTATTGTGAATATACTAACTGTTTAATTGATGGTATCATTCTCGTGTGTAGGCATGGATATCATAACCATTGTCTACAAAGATATTAATTTAAATGTCTGATAAGTTTAGAGTATCTTCAATATGAGGTCAAGAAAAATGTAGATGCTTTTATAACCAGTTTCACAAAGAAATTGGATGAGCAAGAATCTGTTGAGAAAGATACTAGAAAAAATGCAGCCGAAGATGATTTGAATGATGTAGATGAAACGAAGGATGAAGCGGAAAATTTATTAGAACACGCAAAAGAATTATTTTTAAAATTGTAAAATAATGTATTTATTATATTTTCTTATTTCATTATTACATTATATGATCAAATTTCAATTAGTTATTTACATCATGCATAATAAAATATAATTTTTATGTTTTAATTACTTTATTAACTAATGATTTTAATATGATTGGCTTTAAAATCACGTGATTTCATTTCAAAATCACGATTTCGATTGGTTGATTAATGTATCGTCTCCTTACTAGATTTGGAATTTTGTGTAACAGGGGACTGTCCCTCCTGAACTATAATAGTCCTTCGTTACACTCCGGACTAAAATTATATGGTTCTTTTCGAATATTTTTTAAAATCACGAACTTTTATTGGCTTATGTAAAATGACAAAATAGTCAAATGGCCTGGTCATTTCTATCACTAATTGGGATTTATTATAATTAAAATAATGCAGAAAGGATTTTTCATAAAGTATTTATGTCAAGAAATTTATTGAATTTATTGACGTCCCATATATGAAATTTAAATTTTAAATATAATATATATACGCATAATTAAATCTATCCAATATGAAAGCTCCCGGAAAACATTATCTTTCCCAGCAAACAATTATACCGTCATTAAACTACAACCATTTCACCTACAATTAATATTTATAATAATTGTAGGTAAATTAACTCAATTTCAACAAATTCATAATTTCGGCAGACGAAACTGTCGCTCCGTCTAAATACATTATCACATTATCTGCACAGCATTCGAAAATCAAAAAAAAAAAAATTCAAAATTCAAATTATATAATTCAAGTAAATTATATCTTTATCTTTATATGATTAAATACAAACTAACGATATGATATTTTTCAATATCCGAAAAATTTGACTTGGGCTAGCAAGAGCAAATAAACTTTATTGGAAATTTTGCTTGCCGATCACATAATTTATACTTTTCTTTTCCCAAATAAAATTTTTTTTTCAGTACTATGATTTCATTGTTTATATTTTTTTTTTAAAATACTATTGCAGCAACTCACGTCATTTCAGATTAAATATGTTTCTAACATCTGTTATATGGTATTTATTACTTTATTACACCTGCGTTTCTAGAAGGCAAATTTTTTCACTTGAATTAATTGTGTTGGATTATCTTTATATCTCAACTCAACAAGCTATATCAAATTTCTGTCATTGTTAAATAAATTGTTAAGTAAAGTGGTCGTCAAAAAAATATTCTTTCGCCTATTAAGAGAATTTCCCACGTTTAAACGGAAATGCTTTTTTATTATCGAATTGTAATAATCAACTATTTGTTACTAATGGTAAAATGTTCGACCGAACGCGCTCAATTTCCTTTTACTGTACGAATTTATTTACACGTTATCGTTATCTTATCTCAATACCACAATCTTAATTAAGTGTGTTGATACTTTTCGCATGTTACAACATTTTTCTTGTTTAAAAAAAAGGTAACATGATCATATACAATGACACATTCAAGCGAAAAAAAGCTAATATTGTTGTGAAATACTGTTTAGCGTGTGATTTTTACAGTTCAAGTATATGATCCGGTTTTCTATCAGAATTACTTGTTTCAGATTAAGCACATGCATCGAATCCTTAATAATGTCAATCAATTGCTAATGATGGGAAGTCCTCAAATTAAAGTATAGTGACTTTTCCCATGGGGATCGATCATTAACTTATTTGTTAAAAAGTTTTAGTAAGTTCAAGAGAAGGTCATTGTTGAATGAATTGAACAAAAAAAGCAAGTAAAAAAAAAGTTTCTTTGTTGAAAAATAAATGATGGAAAGGACAATTGTTCGGTTTTGGCCAAATTCAGTGAACCCTTGACACAGTGAAATCTTCCCAAGCATTATCAAAAAATAATTTTTTTGCATGATCAGATGATGTTGTGTTTTAGCCAAAAAAAAATTGATTGATCCCAATCCAAGAAACTAAAACAGTAATAGAGTTTATATTACATATGTTTAAAGTACTAAATTATATAAATGCTACGAATCTTTTCCTTGACCATAAAAATAAAAAAAAGAAAATCATAAAGAAAAAAGAAATAAATATAATATATTTTTATCAAATATTTTTCCTAAATTTTTTTATATGACGATGTTTCAATCACCGTTATCAGAAACTCCAAATGCGAGAGATTATATCGATATTATGGTCGATATAAGAAATCTTGGAATATTTCATGATTTTGAAGAACATACTCCAACAATTGTCGTATTCGGTGATCAATCAAGCGGTAAAAGTTCCGTTATAACAAGATTAACCGGTGGATTACCAATGCCAAGGTAACAATTTTAATATAAATTTCTTTGATGTTGTGTATCCTATGTGAATATATAATAACGATATCGTTATCAGAGCATCTACAAAATGTACAACGACACCTTTCGAAATTCGCATGCTACAAACCGAGGAGCCAATACGTAAAATCACTTTACGTTACATAGAAGATAGAAATCGTAATGCGATAAGACCAAGAGAAGTAGAGTTTGCCGATATAGCGAAATTGAGTAACAAGGAAATCGAGAATAAATTGCGTGAAGCTCAGCGTTATGTTCAAAACCCAAGTATTCGAGATATCAAATCACGATTGCCCGAACCAAGTAATGATGAGTTAGCTTTTACAAAAAATGCCGTATGTCTTACAATTGGCGGACCCACACAACAGTATAGTTTGTCTTTAGTTGATTTACCTGGTAAATAAAAAATAAAGATATGAATGATTCAAGAACAATTTTTTATTTTTTATTTATAACTTAACGCATTGTTTTCCTCACCTAACTTATTCAGGAATCGTACGAAACAATGAAGAAAACGAAAATTTTTTAATTAGCTTGGTTGAGGAATATATTAGAAGAGAATCGGCAATTCTGGTTCCAATATTCGCTGCAACCTCAGATATCGCTACACAATGCGCGTGGCGTCTAGCATGCAAAGCAGATCCGGATGGTATGCGTACTGTAGGTGCCTTGACAAAGATTGATCGAATCATCGATTATACAAATGATGAAGAAAAACAGTTGGAACTCGCTAATCTGGTAAAAGGTAAAGGAGAGCATCAAATTGTAAATGGTGTTTATGTTATCAGGAATCGATCTAGCGTAGAACCGGAAGGTTCGGATGATTCATTGGAAAACGAAATAATTAAGGAACTTAAAAAACACAGAACTTGGAAAGATGTACCAATCAATAGGTTTGGCTTACCAAATTTGGTCATGAAATTAAGTGAATTGCAAGGAGAGGCACATAAACGGTCATGGCCATATATAAATCCCCTTTTAGAAAAGAGTAGGAATGATTTTGAAGAAAGGTTAATTAAACTTCCGAATAAACCTGTTGGAAATCCAACCATACGTTTCTTGGAATTAATTGGAAAATTTGACAAAATGTTCACCAGTCACGCAAATGCCGAGCATGTAGATCATAAGTTATATCGTGGACAACAGTGGAACTTTGGACAATTTGATCAAGCATTATTAAACACCCGTCCAATATATAAACTCACGTTTGACGAAGGGTTTGCGAATTCCGAAATCTTTGATCCCATAAAGCCTGGTTCATTACAATATAATGGGTGGACAGATGAATTAAAGAAAGAGCTTACTGATGAGTGGAAAGCATCCGATTTTAACGATCATTCCAGATATGTGTGGACAATAGATCAGCTTTATGAAGCTGTGCAAGAAAGTCAAGGAGGTTTATTGGCCGGTTATTTTCCATATAAAGCTGTGGTTTCCATTGTTGGAAAACATCAAGAGGATTGGCTACCGATCTCTACCAGATTATTGAATAAAAATCACGATTATGTTGCTAATTTTACTGATGAATTAATAGAACAAACTTTTAAAGAATTTCCAAATGTCATTGGAGAAATCAAGTAAATATTTTTTAATTTTTTTTTCACGCGTTTGCACGTGATTTGTGACAATGAATTTACTCATTTTATTAAAAAAAAATCATAGGAATGTTTTACGTGAATTATTAAGAAAGTGCAAGGATGAAACATTAAAACACCTTCAAGATCTTGAAGAGATGGAGCATATGTCAGCCAGTAGGGCTCTTTACGTAACTGATGAAGCCAGCCTTCTGAAAAAACAATCAAAGTATTTTATAAAGCTTCGAATCTTGGCAGCTAGCTCAAGACAAGAGAATCAACATTTAAAGGAAGCTCTTGATTTAGGGACTAAATTATTTGACATGATGTATAATGAGGAGGCTAATGATGACGAATTTGATCAAATAAAATCCAGATTGATCAATCATATAGCGATTCATGGGGAAGTGAATGTAACTTCTCAAAGATTAATTGAGGAAATAAAAAGTCTTAGACTTGCAACAGAAACGCCATCAACTGCTACTATATCTGCAATGTTGACTATAAAAAATTCATACTTGGATAGATTAATTCGTATAATTCCCGAATCTGAACATTCAAGAAATCACAGTATACTAAGAAATACCATCAACGAACATGCTTTCCTTGCTGCCACGGTACGTCCTTTAGCTGTAACATTATATTTTTTATTGCGAATGTTTCTTTAATATTTTTTTTTTTTTTTAGGGAGCTTTAGCATATTGGAAAATGTCCCATTCAAAATTTCGAGAGATCGTACCGCGTATAGTAGAATATTATCTTGTGCATCAATTCGCTATCCGTTTAGGAATGCATTTACGTACACATTTCAGATTATTGGGGGCAGAACCGACAAATCAAGCAGATCCAGACGAAAATATAGACTTGGATAGTTTATTAGGTGAAGATCCATTGGTAGCTAGAAATCGTGCCGAATGGCAAAAGAATGTTAATGCTCTTAATGGTATTATTGAACGAGTTCGAAAAGCTTCCGCAAGAAGAAGTAATCGTAATCAAAATAACAATAATAGTGGACGTGGCGGTGGTGGTAGCGGTGGTGGTGGTAGCAGTGGTCGTGGTCGTAGATAAACTTCATTTTAAGCTTCACTTATATTTTATCTTATGTATCTTTTGTAAATTACTTATCACGCGTTATAAGCAAAATGTTTTTTATTCGCTTATTATTAGCCTTTAAATTTTGTTTTTATATTTATATATTCATAACGTACTGTATTTTATTTTTCATAAACTTTTTTAAACGATCGATATATTAAGAAATAAAATATCAACAAGATATTTTAATCTAGTAATACTATTGAATCCGGGAGAAAATTACACGAGGTTTGAGTTGAGCTTTGGCTAGTTCTACTACCATTTCAGTTCTTTCGTGTTATGAAAAGTCCAATTGATAAACCACATGCTTTATAGAAACTTTTAAATTAAGCGGGTCAGGGTCTTCATTTTCTTGTACCATTTGACTTGGTATGTTTAGCTGTGGTCACAGTTGATGAATTTGTTGTTGGAATTGGATTGGTAACGGCTTGTTAGAATTGATATGAATTTATTCGTTGGTTCATATTTTAAACAATCTTCAAACAACAAAAATAGGAATCTTGCAATCAATCCACTTCAAAGTTTACAACACTTACAGACTTCCGATTTGCCCGGCATTGTTCAGATTAGTATTCACGAAGACATGACCATGTTTAAATGACTAATAACAAAAGAAAAACTTACTCTATAATTATATAAAAAAAATCGTTTTATTTAATAGAAAAACAAAACAAAAATATTGTATTTCTAATTATTAATGACAGAAATTCCGATCTAAAAAAGTTTTATAGTTGGGACGATTTTATTAAAATTCAACGGAATTTCTCTGCATTACAATTGTTTAAACGGATTTTTATTTATTTTCTGATCTTTTTCTTTTTTTAGTTTTTCTTCGGGCCGCGATATTTTTTTTTTGTTCGGTTCGGTTTTATTCGATTCGTATTTATTCTTTTTATTTCTACTTTTGGTTGGATTTATTTTTCTTCGGTTTGAATCGTATCTGGAAATAGGTAAGGCACCGAAGCAATCGAACCTGAAAAGAATAATAAAAGAAAAAATAAATTATATTTTAAAAAAAAAAATGACATAAATGAGGTATAACAAACATTAATCATAATCTTTTAAATTTTTTTTAATAAATTCATAGCTGCGCCATAAATGAGATTAATCGATTTTACTTTTTTGAACCCCTAATCTTAAAATTATAATTGCTTAAATACCTACTGTATCTAGTTGACATCGAAATTTAATTTGATATAATAAATATATGAAACAAACAAAAAAAAATTCTTTTTTATTTAATAATGATCCTGAAAGAATTTTTAATCAAGTATGATCGAAAGAAAAAAATCACTAGTTTAGATGAAATATTTAACTTTTGCCACGAGCTTTCCACCAAAATTTGTCCCCAATTTTGTTTTTAAATTGACTTTGCGTTTAGTGCTCCGAGCCGGTCGAATCGACCGGGTCATTTGACCCGACTCGAGAAAAAATTCGAGTCGGGACTATCATTTTATGTCACGAGTCGATTTTGCTTGACCCGACCCGAATGATCAGGTGATGCTATTAAATGATATGTGATATGGGAGCTAAAATCACATTACGGATGGATCATATGATTTACTATGCCTCATGACTTGATTTACTATATGCGAGTGAAACTATCAACCTTATTAATTACAGCTTCTCTTGGAAATCGAAAATAATTGCGACGCGAACTTTTTGCCAAAGAGCTTTTGAAAAGAAATTCCACCTGAATATAAGATTCAAAAACACATCGAGAAGTTAAATGTCTTAACTGCTCGGATCTTTTTTTAAATAGAGTAAAATTTGGGGTTGATATTTTTTTTTTCAAAAATATTAGTAGACATAAAAGGTGGCTCCGCAATATTGGTGATTCAAATTTTCAAATACAAAAAAATTATGTCGTTATTTAGAGCGTAATCATCCAAATAAAAAGAAGTTATTTTAATAAACCCTGTTGAATGATTTTAGACTTAATTTGCGCATGAATTCCTGGAGCCAATAATATATTTAAAAACACTAAATTTGAATTAATATACAACCAAAGAACTTTAAAAATAAAAACTTTCAAATTTAATACACATTTTTCATTATATATGTACATAAATAAAAAAATTTTTTTACTTTCGGTATGAATATTACCTTAAAATTCGAGTCGAATACGAGTTAAACAATAATCGAATCGGGTCGAACAATAATCAGGTCGAGTCGAATTCGGGTCCTGTAAATATTAACGGGTTCGAGCTCGAGTTTGCTTCAAACCCGACCTGACCCGACCCTTACGGAGCTCTTAATGTTGATAATGTAAAATAATAAATTTTTGTCTCCTTGAATTTTATTATTATTATTTTTTTTTGGTAGAATAGAAAATCAAGAAACTGTATATAAAATCTGGTTAATCTTCTCACATAGAAAGCAATAATTTATTAAAAAAAAAAAAAACTTTTTCATTTTTTCACAAAAAACGTTGATTTCTACGTTTTGTCTTTATCGGTGTAACTTAAAACTAGGCCACTAAAGGAATAAAATTTCTTTTCGTTGTAAAAGTCTCACTTGCAGACCGACGAGTAACTGTCAATGAGCTTTGGAATTGTGGTGTTCGAAATGACTCAGTTTTATCAATAAAATAGTATTCATATAAATATGTTGCAATACTTAAAACCATTTCGCGTCCTGGACGTCCAAATTTGGACTTCAAAAGATCGGATCATATTAGTAAGAATCATACAAAATGACAGGTATAAACAGACTCAGTTCTAGGGTTAAAATATCAGCAATAAACTAGGATATCGTTCAAGTCACCCAAGGTCATTGCTTTTACTGATATTAACGTAGAATGGCAGCTCATCTTGAACAAGACTTGAATTCTGTTGAATTTTCAGATGAAACAACTTTCAGATGTTTCGAAATACTATGAAACCCTTTAATAAAGTTGGAACAAGTTTTCGTGTAAAGTTGTTGAAAAACATCCAGAAAAAGTTCATGTGTTGAGTGCGGAACGATTGGTTTCATGTTTACTCAAAACATATCGTGAAATTTCAAATAATCACCTATTTGAAAAATGCATCTGACAATGATCCAAAAGCAGTGATGTGCATTTTATGCTTCCAATAGTAAAAAATTTGATTGAAAGCCTTCCAATCCAAATAATTTTATTAATAAATTATACTTCCAAACCTTCCAAAGGTATTTCCAATCTTCCAAGTGCACATCACTGCCCAAAAGCACGGGCTAAAGAAACATCCAAGCTTCTTGATCGCCGGGTCTCGGCGGTTCTTGATTGGTCTAGTCCTGACTTAATTCGATAGATAATCTGTGAGTTATTATTAAAAATGGGTGGGTAGAAAAACGAGTTAATAAAAAATAATTAGAAAAAAAAAAATTTTTTTTTTTAGATTTTTTACTTGCTTTGTTAAAAAACTATATACTTGTACAAAAATCTATAGGAACGATGCTTTGTGTTTCACGGAAAACCGCAGACAATATTTTTAGCATCTTCTTTAACTGTAATAATCAAACGCATGTTTTTTTAAAGCAAAGAAAACAAGAAAAATTTTCTCAATATCATTGTAAAATTTCATATCATGTAATAAATAATATTAGTAGTAGTGCATTTACAAATTCAATTGGACTGATTGAGTTGAGTCAACGGAGTCAACGTCTCAATCCGATCCACATTTATATTGATTTATAGATTCATATATATTTTTAGCTTTTAAGAATATCAATCTTAAATATTTAATTGTATATGTTTTAATGAAATAGTGCTAAATTCCTGTGTTAAAAATTAAAATTCAAAATTCAAATATATTTAATTTAGCATAAGTTTTAATTAAATTCTTGTGTTAAAAATATATAATTCAGAATTGCACATGTAATAATAAAATAATATTAAATATAATTAAATTCCTATGTTAAAAATATATAATTTAAAACAGGGACTATGATCTCCTACTTTAAGCAGATTTAGCAGATTTATGAAAATTAGCAGATAATCACAGATTTTTAAAAAAATTGTATTTTATATTTTTATCAATCATATTAAGCCTTTTTTAAGATTTTTAATTTTTTTAATACTTTTTTTATGTTTAAAATATTAAGAAAAAAGGCTCACATCCTGGTTTTTAAGAGTAGATAAAAGGAGTTTTCCAATATATAATAATATTTTAGATAACAATCGTTAAAATTAGAGGTTAGAACTGGCTCAAAAATCCTTAACCAGTTAATAACTGGTTAAAAAATTCTTTAACTGGTTAATTAATCAGTTAAATTTAACACTATAATTTTGGACAAAACTGGCAAAATTTTGTAATCACAAAAAAAAATTTAATTCTGCCTGAAATTAAATTTCAGCTAGTGTTAATATTAGATATTTTAATTAGTTTTTAACCGTTAACAAGATAAATATCTTAACTAGTTAATTAATTTGTTAAAAATTAATCAATTCTAAATTCTAATTAAAATCTTTTTAAAAAGATTAAACATAATGTATTTTAATGTAAATTAATTTTGAAAAAATTTTATAAAAAAAAATTAACAGTTTTTAAAAAATGAAGTAAAAAAATTTTGCTGAAATAATAATTGTTAGAATATTACTGTTTTAGGGTAAACAGCTAGTAGATTTTATAAAATATTGTTGTAGAAGATCATCATATGAGAGCTTTGCAATAGAAAGGGAGGAAACTCTAAAAAAATTAAAATTTTATTTTCTAAGCTAATTAGGATTTTTTTTGTAAAATAAGTCCAGATTTAACATTAACTCAAAAAAAAATTTTTTTTAGAGTTTCCTCCCTTTCTATTGCAAAGTTCCCATATACATATTTTATAATAAAATAGTATTAAGTAGCATTAAATATAATTAAATTTTAATTTATCATATCACATGAATATTTTAGATGTATTAATTAAAATAATACAATAATTTACAACAAATTTTAAAAAAATAATACTAATTTTTATTTTTTTTATTTTTTAAATTATCCTTTTAATATAAACCTTGCATTTTTTTCTTTTTCACATTTTTTTTCTTTTTTTTTTTCAATATGAACACTTTGCAGAAGTTATTATATTCATATTATTTAATATGAAAAAGATTATTAAAGAAAAATGATATTATTTAAAATCTATTTTAATATATTACTTAAAAATTTAAAACTTTTTAAAACCTTTAAAATGATTTTTTTTAAATCTGAAATTTGATTAAACTTAATTAAGTTTAGGAAATCCTATTAGAAGTTTAAGTAAAATTATTTATCATATTTATTATAAACAAATAATTTAATTTTAAATATTTTGAAACTCAAACTTTTTAAAAATAGTTTAAAGAGATATCTTTAACATAAATAATACAATCTGTAATATGCTACTAGTTAAAGACAGTATTCAGAAATGACTTGGTTATTTGACTATTTAAAGGATTTGACTAATCCTTTGTTATAATCCTAATCATTTAACATTTGTTATTTAGTTAT